AGCGATGGTTGCACTTGGTGTGATGACTGTTTGATGGCCGATATTCGCGTCGTTAACTGCTGCAATTTCCTCACGTGTGTTGGATGTTGGTGTGAGGATTGCTCGACCATCTGACCCACAGACCCTGGCGTTGGGAGCAGTGTTCACCTGTGCCTACCCCGCGTGGCTAATTACTCTGCCCAGGCGAAGTCTCAGCACCGAGTGTGGAAGGGCAAGGTCGTTGCACGTGTTAATGGACTGGGGGCCAGTAAACCATGACTCAAGCATCTCCCGGCTCACGCGGTTGTCACTTCTAGTGAGAATTTCAGCCTCGTCTAACTTGAGTCTGTGGCCGGATCTCGTTGAATGAGCCGCAACTTAAGAGCTGGCGTCATTTCTCCGCACCGCTGCAGCGTGTTCGACCATTCGCGTTGGGAGCTGTCTTCCGATTTTGGGATTCATCGCCGAGGCGGTCCTGCAACGGTTAGAGTCGCTGGTCTTCCAAAACCACAGACCGAAATGCTGGGCCTGGTATGTGGATGACACCTTCGTCGTTATCGACCGGGATCAACTGCCGACATTCAAGGAACATCTGAATGCGGTCTTCCCGGACATACAATTTACGATGGACGAAGAAAATTTCGATGTGAAAACCGCGTAAGCCTGGAGCTGGCTGAGTCATAGTTTACTGGTCCTCGGTCCGTCAACAAGTTCAGCGACCTTCCCCTTCCATACTCGGTGCTGCGACTTCGCCTAGGCGGAGTTGTTGGTCACGTGGGGAGCGCACTGATGAACCCTGTTCCCAACGCCTGGATCGGTGGGTCAGATAGTCGAGTAATCAGCACACAAACATCGAGGAGGGCTCCGAAAGGTCAGGCGAATAGAGCTCTTGTCCCGGCTATCGTGTCTCCTCCTTCACGACTGCTTCCTGGGACTTGTCTCTTCGCTTCTACTGGCATTGTTTGTGTGCACTGATGACCCACCTTTTCTCTTCTCCAGCCCACCGAGATGCCGAACGGCGGCGGCGGCGGAGCCCGTAGACCTCCAGCGGAAGGCGATTTCAGTGAGACGCAAGTGAGCAGCACTCCACCTCTCTCCGCGGACGCTGACCATCCACTGGCCCACGAGATGACGCCGATTGCGCAGACCAGTGCGGCTAATGCCGGTTGGAGCAGGTTGAGAGAGCTGCAGGTACAAAGCTAGCAGACGCCGTGGCTGCATTTTTGTTCCTCTGTTTGCGCCTGCGCCAGGTTCGTACATTGCTTTCTGAAAAAAGGTCAAAAGTGAACATTGAAGGCCGGACAACGAGCCCATGGCCCAGTGGTTAGCGCGTCGAATTATTAACGGGTTCGTATCTCAGGTGCCTCCAAATCAGGGACCGGCAAGCTGGCGGCGTCTAAGAAGCCATAAATGATCATTCCAGTCTCAGTAGATGTGCTAACTCATGAAATGTTAACCGAAGTTCTGAAATGCGTTTTCGACTCAAAAAGATTGCCTAAGTAATTTTGTAGAATTACTAACCGTGCAGCCTGATGCCAAGATATTTTTCAGTTACTTCGGAATGCCGGCTTTTGAATGAACATCTTTTCGGCCGCCTGCAAAAAACTGAACTCTGGAAAAAATGACTATTTCGGCTGTATGAGTTTTTCTAATTGATTTTCGATCCTTATAAATTCAAATAGAAAGCACACATAGAAATATTCACTCCATTCCCACTTTCTCAATTTCCGAATAATTTCGAACTCGACCTGCAGTAGTACTTGCGCTCAGGGTTTCCAAACTACAAGCTGTATATTTTCCGTGTACAGGAAATCATACATACGCTGTTAAGGGGAGGCCGTATGGGGTTCATAAAATTTAACACTGGATCTCAGCCATATCGTAAACTTCATAAGCAATATTAGTAAATTCAGAGGCACGATGTTTAATGAACGAACATTTCGCGATCCTAAAAATCTCATAATTGGAAACTTTCTTAAAACTGAATTATACCCTTATTTCATGTATAAAATCTGAGGATGACATAATTTTCTTCCAAATGAGTAGAAGAATGAATATTTTTATGCATGTTTTCTATAGAATATGATTGAATTTATAAGGGCATGGAAAATCATTTAGAAAAATTCAAACAGCTTAAGTGTCAGTAGGACGAGAAAGACTGGGATGGCTATCTCCCCCTCCTTGCATATACTTCTGGTCGTTATGAGACTGCCTGCGACGGCTCTATATGGAGCTCCAATACACAGCGGGCGACTGGAATTATTCGTACCGTTGCGTCTTGGAGCTCAGTGTATAGTTCTCGCAATCAGTCGCATAGTGGCCAGTAATATATACCAAAGGGATATCCAGCAAATACAGTAGGTGTGCTGACTCATGAAATTTCAACGGAAATTCTGAAATGCGTTCTCAACTCGAAAGGATTACTTTTTTCCATGTACGGAGAATCATACACTTCTATACTCTGTTAAGAGGAGACCATATAGGGTTCGTAAAATTTAACAGTGGATCTGCCCATATCGTAAACTTTACAAGCAATAATAGTAAATGCAGCGACACGAGGTTTTGTGAACGGCCATTTCTCGGTCTTAAAAAATCTCATTATTAAAAAATTTTTTAAAACCCAATTATACCTTTCCCTCAAGGATGAAATTTGAGAAAGACGTGATTTTCTACCAGATGAGTAAAAGGATGATTATTTTTGTGCATGTTTTCTATGAAATATATTTGAATATGTAAGCGAATCGAAAATGCATGAGACAAATTCATTCTACTTAAATAGTCATTTTTGTAGAGTGCAGTTTTCTGCAGGCGGCCGAAAAGACATTCGTTCAAAACCGGCATCCCGTAGTAACTGAATTATCTTAGGATTAGGCTGCGCGATATTTAGTATTGCAACCCTACGTAAAAAATATTTTCGAGTCGAAAACGCATTGCAGAATTTCGGCTAACATTTCATGGGTTAGAACACCTACTGTATGTACATGAGTACAACTAAACACAGCATTCGTCCATAATCTGCAAGCGGCATTTCAGGCGTAAACCAGCACGTAAGGTTTTGCCTAGTTGTAAGGTGCAACAAAACAAATTAGCTAACTCATATTACAAGTTAACGAGTGCGCGTTTTGGAAGCGAACAAGACACGATGTTCATTCAATATCGCGTACTATTACGGAGGGCAACTGCAGTCTCGTAACCTGTTGTCCCGACCAGTTTGTTCCTTGATTTGCGCCTGCGCGTAGGCGCGGAGCTACATTCACGTTATAACAATGTACGCTTAATGATGCCGAAAAATCAGCACCGTTGAGCATGATTTTATTTACTTGAGCCTTTAAATGCACCCTTGGGTCCATCGTCAATGTGACTACAGTAAGGCGAACGAAACGATGAGCAAAAGAGCATTCACTGACTAATCACGGAGCTGCCTTTCTCGCGTTTAGTCGCAGTGTCCCAGCCCCAGAGTGACCAATTCTCATTGACCAACTGTAAAAAATCGCCGCCTCGGTGGGATTCGAACCCACCGAAACATCTATGAATTACGTGAGCCTGGTAGTCATCTGGTGGATTCTAGGTGAATTGTTTAGGAAATCCGGCTTGCGCAGTCAACTTACTGTATCAGATTTGGTGGATTCCAGACGTTACAGTAGGTTGGGCAGGTAACTTGACCCAAATGTGATTAAACTCGCGTCGTCCAGCGGGGCCTCGTAGTTCAGGTGGTTTGAACGTTGGCTGTACATAAGCCTTCACCGTACTGCCGTGGGTTAGAATCCCGCCGAGGCGCCGAGTTTTTCACAGTTGGGTCAATATGAATTATTTAAAATCTACCAAAATATCTATGAGTGACCAATCGCAGTATCCCTTGTTCTCAGATCTGTTATCTCACTTTTTGGGCAGAAAACGCTTTCTGTAACCTCATTGCACATCGTTAGTCAGAGAAGCAAAAAAATAGGCAGCTGAAATACCTATAGTCTTCCCACATGGTAACCTTCACGTCCCTGCTTAACCATTGGTACTACTCGGGGCATTAGGCAAATGTTGAAATGGCCGCTGTCGGGAAGGTGTACTGAATTTTGCCCCACTTCTTAACGTCTGTTCGGTTTGGAAGCGAACAGGACACGATGTTCATTTAACATTGCGTACTGTTACAGAGGGCGACCGCAGTCTCATAACCTCCTTTCCTACCCAGCTTGTTCCTTGGTTTGCGCCTGCGCGAAGTTACATACGTGTTCCCCCAATTACGCTTAATGATACCGAAGAGTCGGTGATCTCGAGCGTGTCTTTCTTCACTCGAGCCTTTAAATAAACCCCATAATGACCACAGTAAGCCGAACGAAACGATAAGTATAAGAGCATTCACTAACCAATCAGAGAGCTGCCTTTCTCGCATTCGGTCGCAGTGTCCCAGCCAACGAGTCACCAATTACAGTGTCCCTTGTTTCCCTTGCTTCAGATTACCGAACCTTGCTCATCCCCCAACGCTATCTGCCCTTCCGACCTGTCGGTGATCGGAAGGTCAGGTGGCTAAAGCTCTGTTCCCAGAGCCTGGTTTCTCATTTTTTGGGCAGAAAACGCCTTCTATGACAGAACGTCGCACAATATTTTCTTGTATAGTCCCGACCTATTATGCATGCAAAACAGAAGGTTAGTTAGAAATAGGACGTGCACTGAGTACGAGAGACAGCACAAGTGAGGAGGCTTGTGGAAACGGCCGGGTACATGGCAGGGAGCAATGTCATAGGCTGATGGGTGGCCAATTAGCACAAAGAAGGTGTGAACAGGGCTACATGACCCTGACCGTTCGCTTGGCGCGCGCATGTGGCATGATGCCCCGACAGCCCGGGCAACATACGCTGCACGACCTGTGTAACCCCATTGCACATCTTTAGTCGGCTAGATCGCATTTGGTAGCCAGGACCCGTATTACAGGTGGCGGGGGGTTTGTTTACTGGGGCTGTTTTGTGGGGCCCCATAATCACATCTGACCCATTTGGCTTCCGTTTTACGCTTGAGGTCAGGATTAGGGTACCGGTTAATGGTTTCCCATTTTCGGGTTAGCGTTATGCCTTTAGGCTTAGGTTTTCGGGTTACCGTGAGGTTTGAGAGTAAAACTACGTTTCAGTATTATGGTTAGGTTTTCAAGTTACGGCTGTGTCTCTCTATTTTTAACGTCTTTTGCGCACAGGAAGACCTGGTGGCCCGTCAACAGGCGGGTGTGAAACTCGGCCTCGGCGACTTCATCTTCTACAGCCTCCTCGTCGGCAGGGCCGCCGTCGACGGGGATGTCCTCACAGTGGTGGCCTGCTATGTGGCCATCCTTGTGGGCATGTGCATCACCATTGTGGCTCTCAGTCTGGTGGGGAAGGCCCTGCCCGCACTGCCCGTCTCCATCGCCTGTGGCATCCTCTTCTACTTCACCACAGCCCTCGTAATATCGCCCTTCATTAGGGCCACCTCGGAGCACCGGCTGTACTTTTGAGTAACTGTCCGCGCGCGCTCCTACCTAGCGCTGCCATCGCTACATGCTGCACAGTGGTTTCAGCCCCCAAGTTCCAGCACGGATGCCGGCCGTTTTAGTCCTTATGCCCGTACCACGTTGTCTTGTGATTTGTTTCTTTTCTTCGTAGGATGGTCTCTTTTTCCCTTACTTGACCCGCCCTCTCTCTGACAAAACTGTGCAGCGTCCGGCTTTTTTATGTTCAAAATGACCAATCTTTGTATTGATCTCTTCACTGTATGCTGATTTGTGGACGATTCTGGTGTTGCACTAATGACCGACCGGGTTGTTGGCGGTGGATTCCACGTTTTCCGCGTTTCCATCAATAGTAGTGAAAGTGCGATTCACAGGAGGCATATCAAAAGAAGAAGAGGCGTTCACCGGGAGGGGTTTATAGGAGGTCGTCCGACAGCTGCAAACGCGAATGCAAGAGCATGAGTTGGCCGTGCGAAGGTTGGACCCAAAGTCGGAGGTAGCAACCCATGCCGCGCAAATGGGACACATCTTCAACTTTGACGCCGTTGAGATTGTGGGCCGGGGCGGTGATCATACAGCAAGGCAAGTGCAAGAAGCCTGGATGTCCGCCGACTGCTCTGTCAACCGCCACATCAATTTGCCTCCCCCCCCCCCCTATCTGACTTTACGAACCTTCTTAACGGGGAACAGTCACGGCGCTGGACAATCGGGGCCGTCAGTCATCTCCACGGCCGACGGGGGCGATTCAGGTCACGGTGACATGCGGGTTGGCTGCAGCCACACAGGCGGCATTGGCGGATCACGCATTGAACAAAGTGCGCCATATAAGGGGAGCTGTGCGCAGGACTTTCCAGTATCTGAAGATGAGTAGACGAATAAACTACTCGAAACGTCGGACCTCCAATAAAACCCCCCGATGAATGCCTCTTCTTTTGGAACTACGTTGGGTCGAGATCTGATTACTAGGCACTGGCCAATGGGATCTGCAAGTGTTGTATTCTTATCCAAGGCGTTTCGTTTGCCCCATGACCAGTTTTCAGTCGACTCATTGGCAGTGAATTTCTAGGCCAGCCTCACCGACGTGCACTGCAGTATTAGCCAGCAGTGCGCGGGCATTTCCTGTGGCTACTTAAATATTATTCAGTAGTTATTCGTGCCTTAGGACCAGTGTGCCTTTCTAGCTCAAATCTGGTGCACGCTATGTTCTCGTTTCCTGTTCTGAATCCCGGTTTCAGCTGATTGAATAGTATTTAATGCAGACATCTGATCGAATATTCCGGTATGAAACTCACCCGCGCCTTTCCCATGTGCCTGATTCCCCTGTCCAGAGAAAATCTCGACACAACTAAGTACTACAAGTACTGCATCCCTTATGCCACCACTACCCTTTTCTGCGACTGTCCACTTTTATTACTTGGGCGGGGCGTTCCCATTTCCATGTCCTCTTTAGAGGGCCACATAAGTCAGTCACGCCGAGGAACTAGCCAGTTAGCTTCTCATTGTGTCCGAGATTGGCAGCGCAGGGTGTAAAGGTCAATCGGCGGCCAAGATTTACTTGTAAGATCTTGTGAAGTAGCGTACGAGACGACGAAATTTTGCGCGAGTACATACTATCAGCATTGCAGGCACCGGTAGTGCAGAGGCTATCTGGCATACGGCCAAGGGCTTTCCCCGTAAGCGTTTACAGAAATATTAGCAAGTGTCTCAGAATAAGTGCTCCGCCTCAGTTTACATTAGTGCTCCCTGTGTCCTCTTAGGACTTCTGAGTTTGGCTTGATGCGAGGTAACCATTCCAGTTCGAGGATCTTACGATTCACATTTGAGGTGTGGCTTTGAAATGCCAGGTCGGCTAATCTGTCAGTCGGTCTCCACCGTGGTTTGTAGGACTAACGCAGAGGGCTAAATAAGATCGGACCAGGCGACATCCAGTTCATCCTATGTGGAAGCATAAGGTTGGACAGCCATCCTACCACATTAACTACTCCTACAACGTACGGGCTGAATCTCCGGGCGGGTTACCGTCGTTACAACACCAACCAGGGGACGAAAAACAATCTAAGCAAGGACGGGTACGACGCTGCAGCGGTCTACTCATGCGTTACGCACACATCACCCTTCAACCCACCGACATTGAGACTTCTAAGACACCATACTATATATGAAAGCGCGAGACACCTGCGTTGTTTTAAGCTCAGCTTATATTTCGAAGAAGCGATGAAGGAGAATCTATATATTTTCAGCGATATTGAGGAGAGGAGAGCAGAAGCGACGCATGCTGGTGTCTTGACTGACGTTCGCAGACTACTTTATAATGCTGTTTACATCAAGACTGACACGACGTCAACAAAAACAGGTAATAAATGCGAAGCAGTAATCGGATCTGGTGCAGTTGCGGACAAAGCAACTACGTCGAAGAAACCGGAAGACAGCTCCGAACGCGAATGGCCGACCACACTGCAGCGGTGCGGAGAAATGACGCTAACTCTCAAGTTGCGGCTCATTCGACGAGATCCGGTCACACATTCAAATTTGACGAGGCCGAAATTCTCGCTAGAGGTGACAACCGCGTGAGCGGGGAGCTGCTTGAGTCATGGTTTACTAGCCCCCAGTCCATTAACAAGTGCAATGATCTTACCACACCATACTCGGTGCTGAGACCTTGCCCAGGCGGAGTTGTTAGCCGCTCGGGGAGCGCACGGGTGAACACTTTTGCCAACTCCAGGGTCGGCGCGTCAGATAGTCTGTCGAATGTAGTCTGCCCGACAGGATGAAGATTCCCAATCAAAAGTCAGGGAAGACGGAATGAGTGGGACAACCTTTACTGTTTGGAAAGCGTGTACACCAAGGCTGTGTGGGCAGTCGCCGCAAGCGTGCTCTCCAGACAAGTTGTTGTCTGTGTCCGCTTTCGAGGTGTTGTCTGTGTCCGCCTTCGAGGTGTTGTCTGTGACCGCCTTCGAGGTGTTGTCTGTGACCGCCTTCGAGGTGTTGTGTCCCAGCGCGTGTGCGCGCTCCGTTATCTCCGCGTCCGCTAGCCAATCAGAGGGGGGACAGCGTTGATTGGCCTGGAGCACTCGCGAGTCCCAGTAGCGTATCGACATGGAGCGTGAGGCGGACAGGAAGGCAGCGTGACAAAGGCGGAGGACAAGGAGACGCGAACTGCCACAAGTCGAGCAATCATCACACCAACATCCAACGCACGTGATGAAATTGCAGCAATTAACGACGCGGATGTCGGCCATCACACCACATGCAACGATCCCTGATGAAAGGGTGGAGCCGTGAATATTCATAGGTATGCGTTAGCATGGCGACTGCATCTTATAAATACTGCAGCCCCTTATGCATGAACCACCCTTATCTGTTTTTTTCTCCGATGAAGGGTTCGGACAGGAATCCGAAGCGTCAGGCTAATAAAGCTCTTGTCCCATCGATCGTGTCTCCTTAAAAAAAGGCATGTAGATGAACTTCTAGTTGGAAAGGGTCACATTGTCCGTTCAGCAGTGTGAAGGTTCATCCTGATTCGTGATGCCTGTACACATCTAATTATTCTATTTCTTGAGTTGACTCGCGGATGGTTTAGTCCCAACATCCGTACCGTCAGAAACTACGTTTTATCAAAAGATACCATCTATGACATTCTCTTCTACCTCAGCACTCGTAATTTTACCCTCCATCAAGGCCATCGTGAAGCAGCGACTGTACATTTTAATACCCGTCCACGTGACCCCCCTCCTCCGCTCCCTTCAAAATGCCTCAAAATGCATTCACTTGTTACACTTCTAACAGAAATTGCACAGTCCCATATATCCTCACTGGGTAAATATAAAGAAAAAAGGCGTCGAAGGCCGGGCATCTTCCCGAACGAGAACTAATATGAGAGGGGAAGCGGCATGTGTTACTTGAGTGGGGGAGATGTAGACGGTCAGAATGTAAACAAGATTGATCGAGATTTGCCTTTCCATTTTCCCTCGTAAATCTTTTCCTGCCAGATCTCAGACTCGGTTATTCGGCAGTGCCATAGGCGGTTAACGCACAAGACGACGCAGTAGGCTCTGGAGATGGCTGCAATGTAATGACCTAACGTCAATGCTGGGCTTGATTGGGCTGGCAAAGATGGTTCGTCATCAGACAAACTGTATAGGGTGAACGGGATTCACGAGCAGGGGGGGGGGTTATGAGGGGGCAGGAGGGTTACGGTCCAAGTTCCGGTTGTGAGTTTAAAGTCCGTGTTCGTGACACCGGTAATTCGGCTGTTCAGAGATGGACTTGGGGACGGTGTTGACTTGCGCGTAGTTTGAGGGGCGGCTTGTAAGGCATCTACCTCAATCACTCTTTCCGCACTTATCAAATTCTAACGGAAGGACAGTGTCGAGGCAATTGAAGATGGGCATGAGGCTAGCAACTGACAGGGCGTAAACTCGCCGTTTGATTGTGTAGTACACTCGCTAGTCTCCACACACGAACTGAAAGTTGTTACATGAACCACAGTAGTGAGATACTACTGCAGCCTGGTCCTCATTCTTCAGAGCTAAAAATTGGAATGTATTGAGAGACCTACAGGCGCGTCGGGTTGGCTAACACAAGGAGGACAGCGCGAGATCGGACACCACGACAGTGCGGCCGTCGTCACCGACAACTGCTCGCCGTGTGCTGCACAGCAGGGTGGGCTCAGGGACGGTAACATGCGCATGAAACAGTTTATAAGGATAACAGACTTGCGCTGTACCCACCGCACTCTCTCCTCTCTCACTCACCTGGACCCGACGATAGCACAGATTTAAGATCGGATAGAGGATCGGGCGTAGGTGGCTGGCGCCTGAAAGATACCGACACTGTCGACCGTGTGCCCCGCAGCAGGAGGGACGTCTTGAGAGGTCCACAAGCGCATCCGGTTCACTATAAGGTGGCAGGCAGCGTTAAATCAGCCCTCCTTTCTCGCTCTTCCCTTTCGCACATAGTATAACTGACAGATGCCTGATTCTGTTCGACTGGGCATAAAGGTGGGC